TAAAAGTTGATAATATAGTATGTTAATACGATATTATTATCAATTCTCTATTAAATATGGACTATACAAGATGAAAATTTGATTATAATAAATTAAAATTTTGAACTGAGCTCTTACAAAATTTGAATCAAATTAACCAGAATTACTCATATAAAGTAATTACAAAAATTGAATTAAAAGCAAAACTACTATTAATTTTATTCAAATAACTTGGCTAAATCAATATTACCACCACTAATAATAACACCAATAGTTTTAATATTAGGGTATTGAGCTTGAATATTATTTTTATCAAATAAAGCGGCAACTGGAACTGCTGAACTGGGTTCAATGACTATTTTCATTCTTTCCAATACTAATTTTTGTGCAGATCTAATTTCTTCTTCGCTGACTGTAAATACTTTTTCTACATGATCTCTAATAATTGGATAGGTGTATTCTCCCATGCTTGTTAATAAACCATCTGCACAGGTTTTGGGGTTTACCATAAGGATTAACTTGCCTTCTTTTAAGGATCTATAGCAGTCATCAGCGCCTTTAGGTTCACCTACAAATACTGGAATTGGTTTTTCAGGGTTTATCCCTTTGGCTGAGATACAGGTTCCTGATAATAAACCACCTCCGCCAATTGGGGCAATTACGGCATCTAATTCATGGCCTAGCTCTTTAGCTTGTTCAACCAATTCATACATAGCAGTTCCTTGTCCAGTAATAATATTGGGGTTGTTATAAGGATGAACGAAGATAGCACCAGTTTTTTTGATAACTTCTTCAACGGTAGTCTCTCTAGACTCCAAAGTGGGAGCACACTCGGTAATAATACCATTATAGCCCTTAACAGCGTCCTTCTTAACTTGAGGGGCGCTGCTAGGCATAACGATATAAGCAGGAATACCCTTTTCCTTAGCAGCTAAGGCTAAAGCTTGAGCGTGGTTACCGCTAGAATGAGTAGTAACACCTCTCTTGCGTAACTCTTCAATACCTAACTCATCTTCCAATTTCTTTAAAGTATAAGAAGCCCCTCTAAACTTGAAAGCTCCTACTTTTTGAAAGTTTTCACATTTAAATAAAATATTCAAGCCTGTTAATTCATTTAAACTTTTACAAGTTAAAACTGGTGTACGATGGACTACGTTGCTTAAGTAAGAAGCAGCTTCCTTAATATTATCAATATTGGTGCAGTAGGTGTCCTTTGTCATTATTAATTACTTGATTATTTTGATTTAATACTCAACAGACTAATCAAAGCTTATCTATTTATATAAAAATTAATTAATTTTTGTTCAATTATCCATATGTTTAAAATAACTGACATGCTCAATTAGCCTAAATTATTGTCATTTGACCTTGGTAAATTTCGTAAGATTAAATTTAAAATTAATGTATTAATAAAACTTAATAATCTACTATATTCTATAAAATTCTTTGCTATATAAAAACATGATCAATTTAGTAATTTATGCGAGTTACAGTTATATAGGATAAATATGGGTTTGTAAACACATAATTTCTTTATATAGTAAAGTAAAAATAAATACTTGATTTTGATAAGAGAAAGTTAATAATGTAAGCAGGGGATAGATGAGTGGTAAAATAAATTAGAAAATATATTACATGAAATAGTATTAATGATATAATTTAAAAGTTGAATTGGTATTATACTTGAACAAAAGCGATATAGTTAAGTCAAAACAGAAAAGAGAAATAAAAGTAATTTTAGTTTGGTTTATAATAGATTAAAATTGATGTTGTACAAGGCTTCATGGTCTAGTGGTATGATTCCCGCTTTGGGTGCGGGAGGTCACGGGTTCAATTCCCGTTGGAGCCCTATTTTTTAAATTTTTA